ATAATAAAGTTATAAAATCACAGTATTTTGCAAAAAAAAAAAAAAAAAAAAAGGGGAGAAAGGGGGAACTCTTTTCAGTAGGGTATTACATCCAATATTCCTAAAATATTTAAAAACCAAAGGTGCTTTCCTTTCATCTCTCATTTGGAAAATACTAACATGGGAACAAGCTCAAGATTTGAACCAAGATATAGAGAAAATGTACTACCTTTACAGAGACCTCTGCTGACAGCTGAGCTGCGCTGCAGCTAGAATAGAATAGAATAGAATAGTTGCTTATTAGCTGATTCCTAACACTGGAGAAATTGAATGGAAAGCAGCATGGGAAAAGAAATTGATCTCAGAAAAGCAACATCATTATTACTCTGATCCCAGTATTGCTTCTTTTGTCCCAGCCCATTTCTCCAGAGTATCCAACAAAAGATCACATGTTTGTTCTTAAGATAAATACTAAATGCAAATAGTACAACAAAAGATACTGAGACTCTAGAAAAAGTGCACAGAAGAGCAACAATGATTATTAGGGGACTCAAAATTAAAACATACTGTATGAAGAACGGTTGAAGGAATTGGGTATGTCTAGTTTAATGAACTTTGAACTACGGTGCTGGAGAAGACTCCTGCAAGGCCAATCTAGCAGTTCGAAAGCACGTAAGAAATGCAAGTAGAAAAATAGGGACCCCCTTTGGTGGGACAGTAACAGCATTCCATGCGTCTTCGGCATTTAGTCATGCCATCCACATGACCACGAGACGTCTTCAGACAGCACTGGCTCTTCGGCTTTGAAACAGAGATGAGCACCGCCCCCTAGAGTCAGGAACAACTAGCACATATGTGCAACTGGAACCTTTACCTTTTCAGTAAAACTCTCGACAGAAGTTTCTTGGTTAGGTCTGTTTAACTCAGGGGGTGTCAAACTTGAGGCCCGTGGGCTGCATATGGCTTGTGGGGCCAGCCTGGAAATATCAAAGGACTGGTCCGTTTTCAGCCTCCCTGGCCTCCAGCAGCACTCCAAAAACTGGCAAAGTGCTGCAGGAGGCCTTCCAGGCTGAAAATGGGGTGCAGGGGTACTGCAGGAGGCATCTGTCCCATCTTCCACCCCTACTCCACCCCAGCCTGCAGAGGAGAAGTACAATGCTGATCCAGCCCTCAAAGAAATCCAGTTTGACACCCCGGGTTTAACTAGTGGTCTGGCAGGAAACCCGGTGGAACTTAGAAAGGGCTGATTGTATTCTGTTCTGACCCTTGTCTTTCTTTCCTCAGAGCAATCCTGAACTATGTTCAATGGAAAAGGCTCCTGGAAGTGCACCAGGCAGCCCAAGAGGAGGGGCTGAAAGCCCCCTGGATGCCATTTGCCTGAGTGAATCTGATAAGACAGCAGTTCTGACTCTGATCAGAGAAGAGGTAACATGGATCTTTGTAATTTGGGGGCTCTTCTCTAGACTGCGCAAAGTTTTTAAGGGGCGCATGGTCAACAGGCATTGGGAGAAGCAAAAGTGGTCCCTTTTTAGAAATTGAAAAACTCTTGTATGTTTCAGAGACTAACATGGTTTTCTCCCCCACCCCCGTTTGATTTGTTTTATTTACATTATTTTCCATTTCCATCAAACAGTGTGTGATCTGGGTACAGTTATTTGAACAGTCATAATCCACATATTTGTTGTTATATTCATCACAATAATGTTAATAGTAGAAGTATATATATAGTATAACTATATATTAATATAATTGCAATAATACATAACATATATAACATCTTCATTGTCAACATGGCTTTTTTGAAGGTAGTCCCACACATTCTGGGTGCATCTATGAATGCATAGCATCTTTGCTCTGCTTCACTGGCCAAAGAATTGCAAGTGGCCTTTAATTGCAGGTTGGGACAAAAATGGAAATGGGTTTTGCCTAATCAATCTCAATCAGCTCATGAAATATTGTTACATTATTCCTGGTGGCTTTAAGGGCTCAGCGTTTTGGAGGGTATCTGTCAGGCGTGAAGAACCGGCACCAAATATTGTGTTCTAGTTAAGCTGATTTATTGCTCAGGCCTGTACATAAGAATCGAGTCAACTGTCAGCACTAAATCAGTGTTGGACTTGGATGAGGACATAATGACTCCAGGCTGATTCCTCTCTTAACCCCACTTCTGTGTCTGCCGTTCCTTCTCCTACAGCAGTGATGGCTATCCTTTTTATCCTCGTGTGCCGAAATTGCATGCACACATGCGATGGTGCGCATGCATGTGCCCACACACATAATGCAATGCATCCAGCCTCCTGCACATGCACGTGTGACCCCCGCGCATGTGTGTGACTCCTGTACTTGCCCCATGCGTGCATGAGACCCCACCGCGCTCGCCCCTTGCTTGCGCAAGACACCCGCAATCCCGTTTTAGGCCAAGCAGGCCTTCCTGAACCGTCCTGAAATAAAAAATGGGGTGCAGAGGGGGAGCGCCGCACTCCCTGCACTCCCCCCTTCACATGCGCGCATAACCACCTGAGCATACATATGCATCTCCCACATGTGTGGCAGAGACCCAAATATCAGCTGGCTGGTGGGAGGCCTGCGCGTATGCGTGGTGGAGCTGAGCTCATATGCCCACAGAGGGGGCTCTACATGCCACCTGTGGCTTGCGCGCCATAGGTAGACCATCACAGTCCTACAGTATCAAAGGGTGGAAAGGAGAATTGCATGCATCCCTAGGACTGGAATTGGAATATATTTATCTCAGAATAGAAGCTCTCCCTGGATTAGCAAGTCA